ATAGCCGTGAAGCATGCATCTCTTCCCAACTGACAGCACAGAAGGTGTATTCTCCAATACATGTGCTTTGATGGGCTCCTTGAAGGATTTCGTCAAGAATTCCGCCGTCTGGTTGGTCATAGTGACACCATTCGCCGTCTGGAACGATGTAGATTCGCAATCCATTGCAGTGTCGATGCCGTGCTTGGCGACCTTTTCTAGAGAGATAAGGTCATGTCCGCATCCTGTGTCCATGATGAATTTCAGCTTCCTGCGAATAAATTCTGGTTGGACCATACACATGTTCGGGTTCTTCATCAGTTCCTTACGACTCTCATCAACGCTCAAGGCTCTTTCATGGAACTTCCCCTTCTTGTTGTCGAACTTGAACATAATCACCTTCTCGGTTCCTGGAATCCTAACTGGTATGCATCCTCCATCTTTGCCCAGACACATATCTTCCATCAGTCGAGCCCTAGCTCTTGCTTTGTGCTTCTCGTACTCGACCTCCGAGATGTGGTTCTCGTGCTTCAGGTTCGCTTCTGTAAAAAGTCGCGGGGCGAATCCTCTATCTTTGTGTGATCGCCTCGGCTTCGATGACGCGAACTTCGTTCCCCGTTCGAAGGAAACCTTGAGGTCCTTGACGTCTCTGTGATAGGATCCGATCTCATCGTCGGTGGAGCAATCTGACGCCGCGTCGCCATCAATTGACTCGTCGTCAGAATCACCGTCACCATCACCCAGGGATCGAAGAACAGGTACTGCAGGCAGACCTCGAATCGCAATCGCGGGTGCGGCAGGTTCAGGCTTCTTCTTCTTGTCCTTCGCCTTCGCCTTTGCTTTTGCCTTCGCATTCGCGTCGGTTTCCCCGGTTGCGGGCGCTGCCTTAGCCGGGTCATGCTTGAAAGGGCAATTCTCTCGGCTGCAGGATCCGTTCTTGCTCCACTGGAAGCAAGGTCGTTCCGATGGTTTTGATGACGGGCTTCGCGCTCTCTGATTCTTATCATCTCGTGAAGACGGTCGTCCTCTGTCCGTATCTTTGTGACTCCATTTGCAATTCTTTCCTGCATTGCATCCTCCTCCGAAGTGAAATTTGCAACGAATCTTCGCCTTTTCCTTGTCGGTCAGCGATCGTGATGATGAAGGAGATCGGGATCGTTCTTTGCCTTTACCTTTCCCCTTCTTCTTGTCCTTTTCGTGTGCCTTTGCTTTACTCTTTGGGAGTACAGGCGCAGCATCCGCAGCTTCTTTGTCCTTGCCTCTCTCATTCGTCTTCTTCTTCTTGTCCTTGTCTGGCGCGGATGAGGGAGGCCCTTTGGGATCGGGCCTAGCTGGTGCAGCAAGCAGGTCCTTCCCAGCAACCATCTGGTTCAGACCATGTTGTGTCTCGTTGAGGTTCTTCTTCTCTCTTCTCCTCTGCACTGCCCGGTCCATGATCCTCAGCAGCATATCATGTGATCTCTCTGGATCGTCATAGCTCTTGATGTCATAGTAAAGCTTGAGCTCCATGTTCATCTCGGAGGATCCTGATATCTTCTGGTACAAGATGTCGCGGAGGGCATTCGTGGAAGGTACATCTTCAGGTCGAATCCGAGAGATGATCTCTAGCCACGTTGCTTTGAATGCGGCAATCTTGTTGTCCCCAGGATACTGCAGTTTGGTCAGGTAATCGATCGTGTAAACCATGTCAAGGCGATCCCGTGTGCGGAAGCTTTCCATCATCATAGCAATGATCTGTCGTCCCTTCAGAACCTTGTACTCGTTCCCGCGAATGTACGCGTTTGATTTGAGGTTCACTTCCAAGAACAGATCGGCTGCTTGATCTCCAGCATTCCGTAACATGAGAGTCATTGCACTTGCCAGCTTCACGTCGATGCTTCTGAACTTGACACGTCCCGAGTCATTGAGCCCTTCAACATCCGGCATCGGCTTGAAAGACTCTTGCAGCCATTTGATCCAATCGCTTTGATTGGTATCCGCACACGCGGCCAGGACGTTTGTGGTGACTGCTGCCTGCCAAGCGTCCAAGTGAGTGACCTTGGGAAACGCAGGAATGTTGATCTTGTCGGCTTCTCTTCGGGATATCTTTGGCCCTTCGGTGTAATCAAGTCCATCTTCGGGTCCAGATCCACCGCCACCTCCTCCACCACCACCGTGAGGAGAAGAGTCTGGATTGCCACCACCATCACCTCCTCCACCTCCTTTCTTGATTGGCTTCCAGGATCCGGGGTCTGTTTTGTCTCCGTCCTCTTCTGGTTCGCCTTCCTCCTCGTTCTCTCCCTCTTCACCTTCATTCTCTTGCTCCTGTTCTTCAGCAATTGTACGCCATTGATCTCGTTCACGACGAAGACGAGCTTCGGTGTCTCTCATTCTGCTCATTTCTTCCCGAAGATCATCCATTTGCCTTCGTAAAGCTTCTTGCTGAACAGTTGTCGAAGCGTTTGCGCGAGGATCTTGAGGATGGTTGGGAGCATTCGGAGGAATTTCTGAAGCCATTCCAGGCGTGACCTCGCCCGTATGCCGCGAACGCGATGGTTGCCGCACACACTGGTAGGACGTGGACGCCGTAGGTGAATCAGCAAGTAACTGTGAGGTGTGTGGTCTGGTAGCCAAGCCAGGAGGCAAGTCCAGCAAACCTGTCGTGAACATCCTTCCCGGAACCAGGTTGGGAACTGATGGTACTTCTGGAACGAGAACGGGAGGTCCACCAAATAACGATGTCCTTGTAGAAGTCGGTCGGCTTTCTGCCACTGGAATAGGTGGTCCTCCGAACAACGATGGCCTCGTGGGAAGAGCCGGGGGACCCGAACCCTCCTTTGAGGCATCTCCACCCTGGGAATGAGCCGGCGAAGCCGAACCCACCCCAGGAATGGTGTTCTGGACCCATGTCTTGAACCTCGATTCCGTCGTAGATGACATTGGCACATCACGATCAACTTCTTCCGGACTGCTGTAAGCTTGGGTTATTCCTGAACGGGATTGAACGCTTTGTGGACGCGAATTATGCACACCTACCCTAGGCACTGAAGAAACATTATCCCACTCAGACGTTCCGGCTGACGTAGGTCGGTTGTACGTTTGAACCTGTCTCGCAGCATCCAATTCCGATGTCAGTCGTCGATTGACGTCCTCATGAGATTGGCATTCCGCTCGTACCCTTTGCAGCTCCTCATGGATGCTAGGCAACGAAGCATGTTGGCCTTCCAATCGCTGCTCCATTTCGTGCACAGCTTGTCTCAAAGCAGCTGCTCTTTCTTCTTCTTCGTGGTACTGAACGATGACGCCATGAATGTTCACGTTCAAGAGCCTGGTCTGATCGCGTTCATCCTGCAATGCCACGCTCTCAAGATGAGCATATTCTCGCATCTCGCTCTTCTGCTTCTCGGATGCTTCACGTGCAAACTCGGAGGTTCGCAGCTGATCTTCCATCTGGGCCACAATGATTTCGGCTTGTTGTAGATCGGCTCGCCTTCTCAGATTTTCATGTGCTCGAATGTTCAGCTCCTCTGCAAGTCGCTGATATTCTCGAGCTATCGTGTTTCCTTCACCATGGGCCGCTTCTTCCACGTTGACCATGTACTGCGCCATCTCGCGTTGCTGGTGCATCAACTGCTCCTGAGTCATCGTCGCTTGGTGATGATTGTCGGCAGCATGTTGCTCCAGCGTTGCGATCGTGGCACCAACGACTTGCTCACGTTCAGCGAGTGTAGCTTCGTGACGTTGATGGATATGAGCAGCCAGTTGCGCGTTCTGATCACGTTCGCGTTCTAGCTGCTCGATCCTGAGTGATGCCCCATAGTCTTCCTGTTGCATCTCCTCGATCTTCAGTCGCAACATGGCAATGACCTCTCCCATTTCCCGCCTTTCGCCTTCTTCCCGGATTCGTTCCGCTAGAGGGTTAGCAGACTCAACCGGGGGACCCGAATCAAGCCCGCTCCTACCGCCAGCCGGAGGTTCCGAACTGGGGAGGCCGGTACCCAAAAGAGGGCCACCGTACCCTCTTCGCGGTGACGTTTCCGGTCGTCCGGCGTCCGGCGAGGATCGTGGAGAGATTCGTGGAGAAGTGCCTCTTCTTCGTCGTGGAGTACTTGGAGTGTTGGATCTCTTTGATGTTCGTTCCGATGATTGTCTGGAAGTGGATCTGAGGCGTGAAACTTGACTCATCTTCGAGTTTCCATCTTCACGCAGTACGCTCAAACCACTTCTGGTTCGTGCGGGTGCCTTCGCAACCGCGACCAGCTCAACGGCATCATCTGATGATGTAACCGCATCTGTGTCGGCGCAGCCTGTGCTTTCGCCCAATGCAGGTGCAGCAATAGCATCACCATCACCGAAGGTCATGGTTGTGTCGGCACTCGACGACGAGGTTGGCAGTGCCATAGCTCAGCCCGTACAGTAGTCGCAAGTCGCAACCGCTATACGGCTGATAACCTGCGTGAGGTCGGGTAGTTGCTTGCACTACGCTTTGGCTCCTCACCAGCCAAATGGTCTCGCACTTGTTTTCTGCACTGATGTTCGCCTTCAGTCTCCGTCTCGTGCACCCGGGCGGTTTCCAGTTACGCTATTGCGCTTACTTCCAACCTATGGGTGACCTTCACTCTAGGGATTACTTGAGCCAATGTGGTGAACAGGCCACGGCGTTCTAAAGTGGTTTCCCCGATGTGCGGCGGAGCCGACACAAAGGGGTCCCCAAAACGTGCTGTGGTTCGGGGATCATTCACATAAACCCCTAAACCCCTAAACCCCCTAAGCCCCTAAACCCCTAAACCCCTAAACCCCCAAACCCCTAAACCCCTAAACTCCTAAACCCCTAAACCCCTAAACGCCGAAACGCCTAAACCCCTAAAGCCCTAAACCCCTAAACCCCTAAACCCCTATACCCCTAAACCCCTAAACCCCTATACCCCTAAACCCCTAAACCCTAAACCCTAAACCCCTAACCCCCTACACCCCTAAACCCTAAACCCTAAACCCTATACCCCAAAGAGACGCAAAGTCTTGCGCAACCGGGATCTGGAAACGGCTCTGCAGATCGAGCCAGCTGGGCTCATCGCCGTCGGGAAGAAGGTCGACCTAAACTCCCCCCTCTTGGAACCCCGCATGAAGATGAAGGTTTAGGGTTTAGGGTTTAGGGTTCAGGGTTTAGGGTTTAGGGTTTAGGGTTCAGGGTTCAGGGTTTAGGGTTTAGGGTTTAGGGTTTAGGGTTTAGGGTTTAGGGTTTGGGGTTTAGGGTTTAGGGTTTAGGGTTTAGGGTTTAGGGTTTAGGGTTTAGGGTTTAGGGTTTCCCTGCACAGATCACGTTTCTACATGCAAAAACTCACCAAAAATAAGAGGAAAACCAGTCCTAGGGAGAGACTCGAGCGGCTTTCTGCAGCCGCCTCAGGTCCTCGTGGCAGCTGAAGGCCAAGACCCGATGCGTCCCTGGGATCAGGAGCCTCCGGCACCACCTGAGAGCAGGAAAGTGGGGCCCAGAGGGTTTAGGGTTTAGGGTTTAGGGTTTAGGGCTGCCGTTTGTTGGGGAAGGGGGTGGCAAGCAAAACTCCGAAACGAGAAAGCTCTCTACTCGCTCGGACAAGCCACAGCAGGGCCTCGTCGGAAGGCGGATGCACCATGTCCACCAAGAACCTAGACTCCCCTTATAGAACCTTAAAAAAAAACATACTATGTTTATAATATCCTCTAGGGTTGTATATAAACTAAAAATATTATTCTTCATATTCTCTGAAATTTTATATAAACTAGAATATTATTCTTAATATCCTCTGGGGTTTTATATAAACGAAAAATATTATTCTTAATATCCTCTGGGGTTTTTTATAAACAAAAATGAAAAAGAATTCCCAAGGGGGATATAGGAACACCGTCGGGGGCTGCTGCGGGTCAGTTTCCACTGCCAGCTGCAGCAGAGATATGGGCCGCGGGTCATGCCACTCGGCATCCACGGCCACTATCCTGTTTAGGGTTTAGGGTTTAGGGTTTAGGGTTTATGGTTTAGGGTCTAGGGTCTAGGGTCTAGGGTTTAGGGTTTAGGGTTTAGGGATGCTCATGGTGATCATGGGTTTCCCCTACGGCCCCCCTCTATACTACCCCCCCTTCTAGGTTCCCCCCCCAAAATAAGGGCTATGTACCCTTGACCCTCAATCCCAAAACCTAATTAACCCTAAACCCTAAACCCGAACCCCAAACCCTAAACCCTAAACCCGAAACCCAATTGAGGTTAAAGGGGGGACCCCAGAGGGGGGGTAGTATAAAGGGGGTAGTACTGAGACCCATGTCATGAGGTGAGCACCAAATCCCGGATCCTCCTCCCCAGGCGGATGCAACTAAAACAACCCCCCTTCGGGTTAGGGTTTAGGGTTTAGGGTTTAGGGTTTAGGGTTTAGGGTTTCGGGTTTCGGGTTTCGGGTTTCGGGTTTCGGGTTTCGGGTTTCGGGTTTCGGGTTTAGGGTTTAGGGTTTAGGGTTTAGGGTTTAGGGTTTAGGGTTTAGGGTTTAGGGTTGAGGGTTGAGGGTTGAGGGTTGAGGGTTGAGGGTTGAGGGTTGAGGGTTGAGGGTTGAGGGTTGAGGGTTGAGGGTTGAGGGTTGAGGGTTGAGGGTTGAGGGTTGAAGGTTGAGGGTTGAGGGTTGAGGGTTGAGGGTTTAGGGTTTAGGGTTTAGGGTTTAGGGTTTAGGGAGCCAGCGACGGAGCGCGACTGAACCACCGACACGGAATCGCACTGAAGCCTGCGGCCTAAAGCGTCTAGACGTCAAACCCTAAACCCTAAACCCTAAACCCTGTGAGATGTCCGAGGCTCAAGTGAGGGGAGGCCAATGCGTCCTCCGCCAGAGTGGCCAGCTGTTCCGCACCCTCTGTGGCATCGACCCATACCTTCGCAAGGGTTTGGGTTTAGGGTTTGGGGTTTAGGGTTTGGGGTTTAGGGTTTAGGGTTTGGGGCTTAGGGTTTGGGGTTTGGGGCTTAGGGTTTAGGGTTGAGGGTTTGGGGTTTGGGTGTGGGGGTAAAGGCCTCAACCCACAACTTTCGTACTCCTTGGGTTCACGGTTCACGGTTCAGAGCTGAGGGCCTACACTTGCACCTCGGCACATAGTGTTTCGGGTTTAGGGTTTAGGGTGTGGGGGGGGGGGGTAGAGTCTTTCAGGCTTACAAGGTTTGTAGTGGGATTTTTGTGCGCATTTGCAATGTTCAGGGTCCGGGTTTCGGGCTTGTGGCGGCTTTTTGTTTGGGGGGGTTAGAGTCTTAAGGGTTCTGGACTTTGCAGGGTTTTGGCCTCAGACAGTTTAGAATTTCAATGCTCTTTTTTTGCGGGCTTGGGAAGTGCTCGGAGCTTCTTGGGTTGTGTTGGGCTATATGGAGGGTGCCTAGAATATGTATGCCGTGTACTCTTCTTAGAACCGGCTGAGACGCACTTAAACCGTACGTTCCCTAGACCCTAAACCCACCAAGATACCAAAAACACCCAGGCCCCAAATCCCAAAACTTCAGAAGTCCCAATCCCCCCTAGGTCCATGTCAAAACCCTCAAACTGTGTTGGAGACCGAAACCCTCAGCAACCAAAAACACCTCGAACGCCGAAAGCCCTGAAACTTGGTAGCCCAGCAACCATCTTACTACACAACAAGGCCAATTACCCATTTTTGGTTGGTTGCTTTATAAGGTATAAGGGAACCCAGAACCCCCCCCCCCCCCACAAAAAAAAAAAAAAGTAAAGGGCACAACTGGGCTACCAAGAAACCCCAAACCCTAAACCCTAAACCCTAAACCCTAAACCCTAAACCCTAAACCCTAAACCCTAAACCCTAAACCCTAAACCCTAAACCCTAAACCCTAAACCCTAACCTGTACGCCCGGGCGCGTGGACTTCGCCGTCCTGGGGCTGGAGCCTGGGGAGCTGTCGGGCGGCCGTGCTTGTGGCGTCCTGCGGGGAAGAACCGACCCTGTTTGTGGTTGCCTATCGGGATTTACTTCCACCCGCCGTACCGCCCCCTAAACTGTACACCCCCCTTAGAACCTTAATAAACAAATATGTTTAATAGCCTTTGGGTTTTATCTGAACAAGAATATCAAACAATTCCCAAGGGGGATGTATAGAAAAAAAGACGACAGCAAGTATAGGAGCCTAGGCTGAGACTTGGAGAGGTCAAGAAAGGACCCGACTCGGAGTAGAAACTCTAAACCCTAAACCCTAAACCCTAAACCCTAAACCCTAAACCCTAAACCCTAAACCCTAAACCCACACCGATCAACCACAATTCCTCCTCACTGCCGGTGGCCAGCATGGCAGGGGCAGAGTCGCCACAGATGTTCACTTGTTTCTGCTCTTGGCTTCAGGTGGCTTTGGGAGTTAGGTTTCGGCTGTTGGGTTTAAAGCTTCCGGCTCAGGGTTTAGGGTTTAGGGTTTAGGGTTTAGGGTTTAGGGTTTAGGGTTGAGGGGTTAGGGTGCTGCTACGCACCAGCCAGGGTCCAAGGTTGATGCTTGGCAAGACCAATGCTCGAGCATCATGGCAGCACAAAGAATCGCCGCATGTGTCCATGTACTCGACCTAGGAAGAAAGAGGGTTTAGGGTTTAGGGTTTAGGGTTTAGGGTTTAGGGTTTAGGGTTTAGGGGCTTTCAAGGGAACCCAACAAGGGAAAACAACAACGGCCTGCTCTGGGTCCTAGTGTATCTTGCCACAGCGGACCAGGGGAAAAAGCAATGTGTTGAATGATCAAGGTTCTGAGATGTCTAAGCCCTTTTCAGCACTTGTGGGGTCTCTACCACGATGTACTCCTCATAGTTTAGGCTGAAGAAGAACGGGGCCGGAATGGTATTGCCAAATAAGGGTGCACCTGCATGCGCGCCTTCAAATAGAAGCCACCGAAAGGGAAACTCCACTCCAGAGGAACGCCCTAAACCCTAACACCCCTGCCCTCCCCCGCCAACAACACACGAGAATGACGAGTATTTAGCAGCCGGAAGACAGCTGCGGCCAGAAATTACCTTAAGCACCCAAAACCAATTCTTGTCGTTCACTAATCGCAACCCCCATATAGGATAGCCTCAGACAACCTATAAGATGGTCGTGTGGGGAGTCGTCCATCCTCAGCCCTAAACCCTAAACACCGTAAACCCTACATAATCCTAAGCCCTGAACCCTAAACACCCTTTAGGGTTTAGGGTTTCGGAACCCTAAACCCGTAACCCTGAGCCCTAAACCCTAAACACCCTACACCACAAGCCCTAAACCCTAAACACCCTAAACCCCAAACCCCAAATTTTAAACCCTGCGACACCTCCGGCATCTCCACCCTAAACCCTAAGCCCTACACCCTAAACCCCAAACACCCTGAACCCCGAAACCCTGCAACGCCTCCAGCGTCTACACCCTAAACCCTAAACCCTAAACCCTACACCCAACACTCTGCGACACCTCTAGCGTCTCCACCCGGCCCTGAGGGCAGTTGCCACAGTGCCAAAGGAGGCGCAGCGCCTTTTGGCACGGTTTTTGTGGGGTTCAGGGTCTAGGGTTATGGTTTAGGATTTAGGGTTTAGGGTTCAGGGTTCAGGGTTTAGGGTTTGGGGTTTAGGGTTTAGGAGTGACGATTTCTGAGAGCCTCAGAAAGACCCGGCCCTCAAAAAACCCTAACATGTAGGGCCTCGTCGGGATTTGCGGAAAGCCCATTCCCTGGTTTCCAAGTTTATAGGGGTGCGCAAGGTTATGTAGCCCTATGTGATCATCCCGGATGAGTCGGCCTTGCATTGTGCTAGGGCTTAAGGTTTAGGGTTTAGGGGTTGAGGCTTCAGGATTTTGGGGTTAGGGTTTAGGGTTTAGGGTTTAGGGTTTAGGGTTTAGGGTTTAGGGGTTTAGGGGTTTAGGGTTTAGCGTTTAGGGGTTGAGGGTTCAGGATTCTGGGCTAGGGTGCGGGGCTGAGGCGGCATTCCATGCTGGAATGCCCAAACCCCATGAACCTCCGAGGCGGGAGCCACCCCCTCGAAATCCAACCCCTAAGGCCCTAGCCCTAAAAACCAAAACCATAAGGACCCCAAACCCTAAAAGCCACAAACACAAAAAAAACCTAAACCCCGAAACCCTAAACCCTAAAACCCTAAAACCCCCAAAAAATCTGGAACCCTAGAACCCTGCAACCTTAAAACCTTAAAACCTTAAGACCCTAAAAAACAAAAACAACCCTAGAACGCCAGAACCCCAGAACCCCAGACCCCAGAACCATGGAACCCTAGAACCCTAGAACCGGAAACCCTCAAATAAACTCTGAACAACAAAACCTTTCAAACCCTGACAATGTCAGGAAAACCCTAAACCCTAAACCCTAAAACACTAAAGCCCTAAGCCCTAAACCCTAAACTCTAAACCCTAAACCCTAAAACCCTAAACCCTAAACCCCAAACCCTAAACCCTAAACCATGTCATGGCCTGCCGCACGATGTCTGTGGAGAGCTCAGCATCGAGCTTCGGCCTTGTAACGCTTCAGCGGAGTCAAGCGACTCACGAGGAACTCCGTGGTTTAGGGTTTAGGGTTTAGATTTTAGGGTTTAGGGTTTGGGGTTTAGGGTTGGGGGGGGGAGGGGGGGGCAGGGCTTAACATTAAAGAGGAGGAGCAAGGAAGATGAAATAGTCCCGTGCTCCCTCGTGAGTGAGACGTGTGAGCGTCTAAATCCTAAACCCTGAACCCTAACCGGCAGCTCGTCTGTTAGAGAGTTTGGAGAGAACCTAGACACAAGAGTAACCTAGCAATAAAAAGGCTGCCCTTTGTGGTTTAAAGGGAAACTTCAACCCTTAAAAACACGTAATGAGAGGGCCTACTCCGCGTCCTAGTAATGGGCTGCAGGCATTACGAGGTCTTCGGTTCTGCATGGCTTAACTCACTTCTTCCGAAACTGCGAGAAGTCGGTACCCTATACAATCCCTGCAAAGGTATATTACGGTGTGTTCTAGGGGGATAGAAGGTAGCCCATTCCCTCATTCCCGGTAAGTTCAAAGACCCTCAACCCTAAACCCTAAACCCTTTTAGGGTTTTAGGGATCGCAGACTCTTTAGGGGAAGGGCTTAGCATCGACAAATCCGAGGTCGGGACCTTACGAACCCGCCCTTTGTAGGGTTTTGGGGTCTAGGGCTAGGGTTTAGGGTTTAGGGTTTTAGGATTCAGGGTTTTAGGATTTAGGGTTTAGGCTTTAGTTTAGGCCCTAAACCCTAAACCCTAAACCCTAAACCCTAAACCCTAAACCCTAAACCCTAAACCCTAAACCCTAAACCCTAAACCCTAAACCCTAAACCCTAAACCCTAAACCCTAAACCCTAAACCCTAAACCTGTGTGCCTTTTGTTCAGAGGAGGTCGGCACGATCTCGCGACTCATCTCCCGGGCATCGGAAGCGCGACTTGAAGGCTCTAAAACCCTGGGACCCGAAACCCCTAAACAAACCATAAACCCTAAACCCTAAACCCTAAGCCCTAGACCCTAAACCCTAAACCCTAAACCCTAAACCCTAAACCCTAAACCCTAAACCCTAAACCCTGTGATCCCAAACCCCTAAACTCAAACAATTGCAAGACTAGGGTTGAGTGAGTAGGGAGCCACTGGAGATCCTAGAAACCACAGCCCTGAGCCCTAAACCCTAAACTCTGCAACGCGCAGCCCTAGACCCTGAACCATAAACCCATACCCTAAAGCCTAAATCCCAAACCCTAGACCCGAAATCCTAAACCCTAAGCCCCAAACCCTAAACCCTAACTCTGGACAGACTGGGAGGCCCAGTCTGAGGTTCGCTGGCCCTTTGAAATTGGGGTATACGGTTTAGGGTGTAGGGTTTATAGGGTTTAGGGAAGAATCTGCCCCAGAATGGGATCTCCTTAAATGCTATAAGTGGTTCGGGGTGAAGGATTTTGTGGGTGTTAAGGGTTTGAAGGTTCAAGTGCACCCTTCAAACACCTTAAACCCTGAAGACCCCAAACCCTATAAGCCCTAGCCCTGAAACCCTACACCCCAAACCCTTCATCCTAAAACCCCTGTAACCTGTAAACTCTGAACCTTAAAACCCTAAACCCTTAACCCTAAAACCCCTACAAACCCCTAAACCCTGAATGCTGGTACGGGTCAAGTGCGCCCTTCAAACACCTTAAATCCTGAAGCCTCCAAACCCTAACCCTAACCCTTAAACCCTAGACCCCAAACCCTTAAACGTTAACACTCAAAACCCTAAACCCTGAACCCTGGAAATATATAGGGGCCTTAATGATTAGAATTGGTTTCTTTTTTTTTTTTGGGGGGGGGGGGGTTGTTATAGTGTGAAAACAAAGGGACTCTAAGGGAATATTCTTAGTAATTATTCCGACCCCTATATTAGGGTCAAGTTCGCCCTTCAAACAGCCAGGGGAGTCGGTTGGGTTCCCCCTTTCGTGGCCGCTCAAGCGTTTGGAGCGGGTCGCTAGAGGGGTGAGACGTCCTTGTTTAAGGACCTATGAGAGGGGGGTCGCTAAGTCTGCTGTGGCTTTGCGTTGTGGTATAAACCTAAGCCCTAAAGTCGTTTAAGCAAGTCATCAGAAGCCGAAAATATATCTGGGTGCCGAGGGTGAAGTTAGGAATCATCTTCTTGAGACATGAGGCCCTCTGCGTATGGTAGCTTGCGCAAACCTTAGCTACCCTAAACCCAGGCCGCATTAAGGTTGGGATGCGTTCTAAGCCCCACACCCTGAACCCTAAAGACTTACACCTACATCCACCTCAACGCCAGTCCAAGCGATTGCGAGCTACAGCTTCGGTCGTATCAGCACGAAGCGCTGTAAATCTTAAGGACGCCTCTATGGTTTCAGGGGAGGGGTTTAGGGTTTGGGGTGTGGGGGTTGGGAATTTGGGGTTAGGGCTCACTTGGAGGATAGGGTAGCTCTACTTATAGCGGGCTATAATCTTCTCTGAGGCGTGACCTACTTCTTGCTGCCCCTCATCCTCCAAGCAGACTTATGAAACCCTAAGCCCTAAACCCCAAACACCAAACCCCTAACCCCTAAACCGCAGACGGGGCTGCTCTCAGGTACGGCTTCACTTCCGGTAGTACCAGAGGATGAAATGAGGGTAAGCTTGGAAGTGGTCGTACACGATCTCAGGAGGTGGTGCCGGGAGACTGGGTCCCAAAAGGGCTGGGGATTGGAGAGTTTAGGGTTTAGGGTTTAGGGTTTAGGGTTTAGGGTTTAGGGTTTAGGGTTTAGGGTTTAGGGTCTAGGGTCTAGGGAAAAAATCCCCTTTCAAGGGAGTAACGGTTTGGGCTTTGGGGTGAGTAGGG